AGTAAACCCATTTTTCATCTATTCTGTGGTTCATTGTAGTTTAAGGAAACCAAGCATATAGACACATTAGTGATTTTGTTTATATTATGTAAAATATAACAATCTATTATAAAAATACCGGTTTGTATTTTTTTCTTTAAGAAGTAAAGATTTGCCTTAAAATTAACTTGATATTTTCTTGGCTTTAGTTTAATACAATACAAAATAAAATATTACACCAAATATAGGCAATGTACTTATTGATCTTACACAGAATAACTTTACAATGCCAGTTATATGTTAGTTTAAAACATTAGAGGACAAACTACTGTTTCAAAAGTACATCGAGTGATATTATCATTTGTAGTAGAATAATTAGCCTTGGAGTGGAGTTCTCTCTCTAGCAGCAAACACTTGCCAATACACTATTCACGTAGACCTCTGCATCTGAGTAAGACTACTAACCTAGGTAGGCCTGAGCATTTGGCTTTTTCCTGTTTCATATTTTGAAAAACCTAAGGCCAAAGGTCAGCATTATCTTTTCTAAGTTATTTTACAGTGTAAAAATTAATAAATAATTTTAATTAGAATTTAAAACGCACAAAACTCTTTGAATAAAGTTTATATTTAGGCAAAGAATAAAGACAAGTTTCACCAATACATGAAGTTTATATACCTAACAGTTAACTGTCTATATTAACATACATATAGTTCAAAGGATATTTTTAAGTTAGTTTATTTTAGTAGAGATATTTATACATTTGTAATACTTTACAGTTCCAAGGATTTTTACATATTCCTCATTTGAGAAATAGAGTACAGTAGACATTACAAATGCTTTGGATTAGACAGAACTATGCTGCTTTCTGACATGTGGGTGATGTTGGGCCAGTTTACAGAATCCTCCACAACCTTCAGTAGTTACTGTTGATAAACCAATGGCTCCAATCTGTAGATTCAAATCTGAATCTCCAACTCAGATTTCCTTTCTGAGCAGACTACCATCTATAGTAGTGGTATAAGCAGCTGCCTACTGGTTATACATTTCTGCTTAGAAATTCCACTGAAATTAAAAAAAAAAAAGTCCATATAGCTGACCTTTAACAACACAGGGGTCAGGGGCACCAACCCATCAATTACACAGTCTGAAATTCACAACTTTTGACTCCAAAAACTTCAGTTGTCCCTCGGTATCCATGGGGAATTAGTTCTATGACTTTCTGCTCCCGCACATACCAAAATCTGAAGATGTTCAAGTCCCTTAAACAAAATGGCATAGAATGCATTCAGTCAGTCGTCTGCATCCCTAGAAATACTGTTTTGGATCGTGGTTGGTTGAATTTGTTAATGTGAAACTGGAGAAACAGATGGCTGAATGGCTATTGCAAAATTGTGTATATGTGGATCATTGCTGTTCAAACCTGGGTTGTTCAGGGTCAGCTATATACTTCCAAACTGAAGAACATTCTCTAACTCACTCTATGCCTTCTATACTGTTCCCTGTTCAACTGTTACTGGTTTTTTGAGGTTTTTCTAAAATATATTTTATTAATTTTAATTTTAAATTTTTTTTTAACAGAGAGGGATAGAGAGTTAAAAACATCGACCAGCTGCCTCCTGCACACCCCCTACTGGGGATGTGCCTGCAACCGAGGTATATGCCCTTGACCGGAATCAAACCTGGGACCCTTAAGTCTGCAGGCTGACACTCTATCCACTGAGCCAAACTGGTTAGGGCAACTGTTTTAGTTTTTGTGTTTTTTTTACAGAAATTTCAACTACATAATTGCCGAAAGTCACTTTTACTTCCAAAATACCTTTCATTCTATTCTGAATATTAATTTGGGTGTACAATGATGAAACACCCTCTTAACTGATCTTTGCTGCCTGCAGTCCTGTCTGTAGTGCATTCTCCACATTCAGCTGGAGTAGTAAACATCCCATACAAATCTATTATCATCCCTCCCATTCCTGTATTCAGGGTTCCTTCAGGGTCAGGGCAAAACACTTTACTCCTACTCCTACTCTACACTCTGTTCCACCCACCAGCCACACTGCACTTAAGGCCTTATCAATGAAAGCTTCTGCCCTTTGTACATGTGAAAACATATCTTAAGCTTTTGTGGGGTAAGAGACACCCCTAAGAATATGATGGAAGCTATGGACTCTACAAAGGCATGTAACAATTTTTTAATTAAAATTTAAGTTAGTTCAAAGTCTTGGAACCTGTAGTGCCTGATTTGATTCAATCACTGAAAGTTTAAAATAGGTTTTTCATTTTCCACTTTAATACTTTAGAAAAAGACCTCTGTTTGCAAATTTTTTGCTTTCTGGTTATAACCATTAAATTTATAAGATAATATACATGCAATTCCTAACTTGGGTGTCTCAACTTGCTCTGCTAATCATATCATCTCTTGTACCTTGTGCTGCTGAGGACCAATAACTGATTCTAGTTCATAAACTGAAAAGTGGTTCTAGCGATATGTCTTCCATTCTGCACTTCAAATGAGGCTGTGCCCTCCTGCTGCTGGTAAGGCAATGAAGGAGATCTCCACTCCACTGCCCCGTCCCCTACAGAAGGCACTACCTTTCCATCCACACCAAGGCCACTCCTAATCTCGATCTGTCATCTTCATCTCTAGGATCCTAGCATTTCCATTCCTAGCAACTGTAATGAAATGTCCTTCCAAGTCCTGGATCATAAATCTTATTTCAGTCTTTTGCATAGGCAGAGACTATTTGACAGTTCCTAGTTGGCAATGCACAGTACAACATAGGAAGTAATGGTTACTAAGACCCAGTACCTGTATTCTAAGAAATTTATAGTGGGAAAGCCTTGTGTGCACACATGGGAAGGACAGCAGAAATACAGGACCATCTCTCCTTGAGGTACTAAATTAAATTTCTTTTAAATGTACAAAAGATATGCATTGGATATCTGGTCCTAGTGGAGGAAACTTCTTAAATCCCATTTGAGGAGTAGAATTAGGATTTTTCTTACCTTAACCTGGAAAATTGGTGAAGGTAGGTGGTAGGTAGAATACCACCACCACCACCCAAGATATCCACATCTTAGATTTCACAGGGACGTTACAGATGTGATTAAAGTTAAGAACTTGAGTTTGGGAAAATTATCCAGGTTCATGTAAGTTCTTAAAAGTGGAAGAGGGAGATAGGAGTGGGTCGGGAGATGATACTGAAGAGGCAAGTGAAGTTCAAAACATGAAAGGGATGCAGTCCATTGTTGCTGCTTTGAAGATGAAGGAGGTCATGATCCAAGGAATGCAGTTGCCCACTGGAGGCTGGGAACAGCCTTTGGCTGACAACTGTCAGGGGAACATTTCAATCCTAAAACTGCAGGGAAGTAAGTTCTACCAACCCCCAAATGAGCAAGAAAACACTCTCCTTTAGAGCATCCAGAAAGGAACACAACTGCAAAACAGATTTTAGCCCAGTGGGACCCATGTCAGACCTCAATCTACAGAACTTAATGAGTGTTACTTGACTCTAAATTTGTGGTCTTTTGTTACGATGGAGGGAAAAAGGGGTGGGAAGGTTAAGGAAGGAGATAAAAATATTTATGAAAGATCAAATTTAGAAAATCTTAGGCTTTGCGCAAGCCTTAGGAATGTGAGAATAGGAAAAACTTCTGAAGGCTGGGAAAAGATTAGTTGGCAGCAACAGGAAGGAGGTAGATGACCGATAAGTGACAAGTTTGCTCACACAAGGCTATTGCTCATGTTCAAAAGATCCTGTCTCTTTTTATGACCTACTCTTCCTAAAGCCAAAAATGAAGGTGGAGGAAGAGGCCTGGAAAGGAAAATTCCCCACTTAGCATATTCATTATTGAAAGATTATTTAGGACCTCCATGGGCAATCCCCGAATTATATGGCACCCAGCTAACAGGACCTTATGCTTTTTAAAAAAAGACTATTCAACAAAACACTGAACAACTGCCTTATTCAACAGGGCCTCAGCAGAGTCTCAGATAACACAAAGTGAAAAGCAAATAGAGGAAGGAAACATTTAAGTATTTGAGCCTGAGTGCTTATTTCCTTTTATATCTTAAAGTCAGTATGTTTTGCTTTGTAGAAAAGACTAATTAGAAATACCCCCCCCCCCTTTTTTTTTTAGAGAGAACACAAAGATTTTTTACCTTCATTTTCAGTTAGGTATAGCCATATTAGATTCTAGCCAGAGAAGAATGCAGTTGTAACAATGTATGCAGCTTTATTACGCACTATCCCTTCTGCTTAGCTGGAATTTTGGCATAATGGCTTGGGAACCATTGCTATGTTAGATCATGTGATTTTGAATGGAAACACCATATGATGGTAAAAAAAAAAAAAAAAATAGAAGAAACTTGAATTTCTAGCATGAAACCCCTACAGCCCTACGCTAAGTAGCCCAATGGCATATCTCCTAACCTGGTACTGATACCTCTGGACTTACTGAATGTGAGGGAGAAATACATCATCATAGTGTTTGTTTCCTGGAGTTGAACCAGATCCTATGAGGCCATCTTACTTTATTCCAGTTACTAACACATAACGGAATGAATCAGGAATTAACTATAAAATTAACATTCTCCACATAGAACACAATGCTTCTTACTGAAATAAGTATTAAAAGCAATGTTTAAAACCACATTTGCTTTTGGAATTAGCAGTGATGGTGGTACCATATACCTGTTACTAAGAATATACTAAATACCACTGAATTAAATACCCAAAAGAATGAATTTTGTGATTTGTGAATTATATTTCAAAAATTTTAAAAATTATTTTTCTTAAATATATGTTTTAAATTGACTTCAGAGAGGGAGAGAGTGAGATAGAAACATCAGTGATGAGAGAGAATCAATTGGCTGCCTTCTGCCCAAACTGGGGCTTGCCTGCAGCCCTGGCATATGCCCTGACTGGGAATTGAACTATAACTTCCTGGTTCATAGGTCAATACTCAACCCCTGAACCATGACAGCCAACAAAAATTTTACAATGAATCATTCGATGAAAACAACATGTTTAAATGTTTTTAATTAAATAAGTTGAATTTAATTAGAATTACCATTTATGTGGGAGATCAGATTTATTAAACTCTCTGAAATATAAAACTTGAACATAAACCCAGTGCTTTAACTTGTGGCTATTCTGATATCCCCCTTTAAGTTTGCTTCCATTTTATTATCATTCATTTCCAGATTCAGATTTTGCATTACTTTGGAGAGCTTATTTTCATCTTTTTTGTCTCCTGAAGCAGCCCCTTTGTTGCAAGGTTCTGCTACAATAAAAAACTGTTCAGTTGGTGGAAGAATGCTTACTCCATAGCCATTGTTGTTGTAAATATGATTATTAGTCATCTTCAATTTGGGTGCAGGAAGAACCTGTTAAAGTATTCAAAGAAATTAGTTTTTCAATCATTTCTATAATATGAATAATGAATGTGTCATCAACTCTAGAACTTATTCTTGGGTGTATACATTTAGACAACTGAATCTCAGTTTTGAACAAATTATTTTCCTCACTGGGTTAATGTAATATTAACTACAAAAATGTTTGATGAGGAAACATTAAATGAGGTTTTTAACTTACTTTTTATCAGTTATTGGTAAAGATAAATGATTCTAGATGGGGTTACAGCAATGCCATGAAGCTTTTAATATGCTAAACATGAAAATTTCAATTGATAGGTAAACTAGATTTCTATGGAAAAACTTCATTAGCTACACAAGTCTAGAGAGGGCTCTAGAAAGGTAGAATTTATAGGAATGCGAAGGCATTTCTCTTATAAATTATTGCCATTAATTGATTTATTTTACAAAGTTTGAAAGAAAATATTTCTTAATATATTTACTATTCTCTTGCTTTACTTTTCTAAATGTATTATGCATACGCTCACTGAAAGATTAGAAATATTTTCATAAGAGCAAACTCATCCACTTTCTCATATTTGAAGTTACTTGCTAAAATTCAAGTTGAAATTATTAAATTATAAGACTAAAATTGTTTCCTATCAGCCATTATTTAAGCCATATCTTAATTATATTATTCTTTTCCAAATCAGTAATAACATTTAGACTAAATCTTAATCCTAAAAATAATTTTTAGTATCTTTCTAATTATTTATCATTCTCATAATTCTATATTAAGGAATATAAGAATACCTTCATATTAACACCACCTAAGATGCTTTTTGAACTGTCATTGGTTCTGAAGTTATTACAGTGATGAATTTCATTCCTTTCCAGAATGGCTGTGCTGCCAGGATACAGTTCAACACCAGCACCCTGTCAATGCAAAGCAAACAAAACAGTCAGTAAAACACATTTCTCTCCAAAATTTCCTTTAAATTTCAAAATTGAAAAAAAAAATTCAAAATTGTAATCCCATATTAACAATCTAAACACAATACACAATAGTGCAAGCAACAATTTATTGTGTAGATGTTTTTAAAAGGGGGAAATAAACCTTGTTTGTGCTAAGAAAATCTTAGGCCTAGAAAGAAGATTGAAGTCGTAGTCTATTACGTTGCTCTCCCACTCAAAATCTCTGTAGGGAGTCAGAAGTTTCTTTAAGCAATTCTTTTCAGTTGTAAAAATTTACTTATATATACCCTACTAAATCCCTCATAATGCTGCTAAAATATATTGACTTATGTTAATGGAAAAGTCCTCTTAGATTTCTGCTTCCTTTAATCTTCTCATTAAATTTTCTAGTCCTTTAATGATCTTTGTGGTTGTTACTTGAAGACTCAAGTTGTTACAACTAACCACATATCTTACAGCAATGTCTAAGAGCTTATGAGTATTATTATTTTTTAAACTATCAGATAGCTGATTCATAATCTGTTTTATAGCCACTGATTCCTACATTTAAAAAAAATCAAAACAGCCGAAACCGGTTTGGCTCAATGGATAGAGCGTCGGCTTGGGGACTGAAAGGTCCCAGGTTCGATTCTGGTCAAGGGCATGTAGCTTGGTTGCTGGCATATCCCCAGTAGGGGTTGTGCAAGCGGCAGCTGATCGATGACTCTCTCTCATCGATGTTTCTAACTATCTCTCTCCCTTCCTCTCTGTACAAAATCAATAAAATATATTTTTTAAAAAAAACCACAACACAAAGTAATAATTCATTACTTTGAACTTAGTTCACTTTTCTTAAGTATGCTATCTTGTACTGATCCTTATTTTTATTTTCATCAGCTTCTAAGCTTAATAATTCAAAGATTAAGTAATTGTTACCCTTTCTTTGCATACTAAGCTCATTCAAAGTTATATATTGTATATAGTCATAGAAAGCAACAGTTTTAAAATGGAATACCTGGGCACCGATTATTTCACTGTCCTTAATTGTCAAAGAAGCCCCTGTAAGAACACACACTCCTGTTCCTTCACATTTTAATAAACAGTTCTCCAAAGTCATGTGACCAGACTCCACCACCACAATGCCATCCACTGTTCCTTGTTGTATCAAAGATAGGTGCATTAGTTTCACATTAGCAGCTTTGGATACCACAAAACTGTCATGAGAAGGTTCAGAAGTAATCATAATTTCTTCTCTCTTTCCAATTCCTAAATCATTGGAACAAAGAGACATAATTAAATTAGTAGTCCCAAAGTCAAAAGCCCTTTGTTAATAATACTTGCTATTACCAAGATTTTCACATTTTTAATAAATGATATGTGATTATTCAGTAATTAAAATTAGATACCTATAATGTAATCTGTCATTTTAATGCCAGATTCTGGGATTAAAATCAAATCTAAATCTACCTATAGTATTTCTTTAACATACTCATTGCACTACATATTTCCCTAAGTTATATAATCAGTAATCCTCTACATACAAGATGTTTAAGCCTCAAAAAGTATCTTACCATAATCTATTTTTAAAACCATAATAAATTATATTAAAAAGGACTGGCAGAGACTCTTGAATTAGGTTGTAAGATTAATCATATCCATAATTTTGCTCTGGAGTAGTCAAAGCAATTTAAATTTAAACATCAATCCAAAAATAAGGGTTGTATCTTCAAGAAGGCTACAAATTTTTAAAATTACTAATATCTTTATGATCCAGTAGTAATTTTCAGCAAAATACTACTGATTACAGTCATCAATATCTAGTGAAAATTTTATGTAGATAGGCAACTTTTAAATCACCTGTTCTGTTCTTTTGGCCAGACAATAGGAATATGCGTGCTTCAATATAAAAGGGCATAATAAAGTTACTTATTCAGACCCTTAAGAAAAATTTAGTATGCTCTGCTTTTCTACTATTTTAATAGTTTGCATGTGAATTAACCTTTTAAAGAAAATTCTGAATATACTTTAATATAGCCTTACATTTGAGCTTTCCCACAAAAGTGATATCAAGTACAGAGGAGATAGATGAAAGTTTAATAAAAATATAGGTGGTCCTAACAGGAAATACTGTCAATAGGTTTTCATTAGCATGAGGAAGAAGTCTCATTGTCTTGCTCTGGTACAGTATGTCCAGGAAAGGTCACCTGTACAGGCAATATTTACATGACAGGTGAGAAAAATCTTAATTGTAAAAAAGGCACATAAGGGATTTTTGTGAAAAATAAACCTGTGTTCTAATTTCTAGTAATTTCATTAACCATGCTTGCAATATACAATTTGCCTAGTAACACATTGCTATAAAAATGCAAAGGATGCCCTCCTAACCCTTTATAATGATGTCATCAGTCAATAAAGCAAGATTGACAGCTTGATATTCTCCTGGGAAAATAACTACTGTATCTCCACTATAACAACTATCCAGAGCCAAATCCAAATCATCATGCTGTTGCAGAAATGTGTCTGAAGATAAGTCCTTTACCTAAAAAAAATAAAGCAGCACACCTTCAACAGGTTAAACTGAGAGAGGTCATTTTAATCAGTTAACTTACTGGTAAGTGCTTTTCCCAAAACTTTTCTTGTATAGGAAGTACTTGAATTATTATAAATATTTATTATGTTTGTTAAATGCTCAAAGTATTGGTTAATCTGCAATATTTTTTTCACTTGATTTTAGAAAGAGTGAAAGAAGGCAGGGGTTAGAAAGAGAAAGAAACATCAATGTGAGAGAATCACATTGACTGGTTGCCTCCCACTCATGTCCAGACGAGGGCCTGGGATTGAGCCTGCAACCCAGATACATGCCCTTAACTGGGAATATATCTCATAATCCTTCGGGGTGTAGGCTGATGCTCTGACCACTGAGGACACTGGCCAGGGTGATGCCTCATTTTTACTTAAATCACTTCTCTGTTTCTCATACACACTGTACTCTGTCAGACATGCACTCATTTATTTAACCAAAACAGTTGGGCACCTATGCCAAGCATGATGTGAAGTGGGGGATGTATGGTAAATATATATCCTTTGCTCTCAAGAAGCTCATATTCTAGTAAGAGGCCAACAAAAAGTATTAAACAGTCGTGATAAGGGAAAGTGCCAGTAAGGGGAAGGGCAGGGTGCTGTGATAACCCTGTTTCCCCGAAAATAAGACAGTGTCTTATATTAATTTTTGCTCCCAAAAACGTGCTAGGTCTTATTTTCAAGGGATGTCTTATTTTTCCATGAAGAAGAATACGGTACACATTTGTTGTTAAATGAAAATAAAGGAAATTTTATTACCTGTATATGGTAAGGTAGTACGGTAGTTGTCAACATAAACCAGACAAACTGAATCCTACAGTATCAAGAATTTACTTATTTATTCAATGACAATCATATCATCTTCTGGAACGTCATCATAACAATCCAATTCCTGAATTTCCTGGTGAATTTCTTGTGACTCCATTTCTTTCAGAATCAGTGGACCAAATCTCTCATGTTTAGCCGGGGTGGGATGGGGGGCAGGGGAGGGCTTATTTTCAGGGGGATACCTTATATTTCACTCAGAAGGAAACCTATAAGTAGGTCTTATTTTCGGAGGATGTCTTATTTTCGGGGAAACACGGTAGTACACAGCTGTCTAATGTACTCTGGAAGGCTGTGAAAGGCTGGACATGATGTGTATGTTGAGGGCTGAGGATGTGCAGCGACTCTGAAAGAATGTTGTACTACACCAAAGTGGATAGATGCACGGAGGTTAAGAGGGATAGGATAACTCAGAAAATTTTAACTAGCAACTGGGTAGGTAGTGGAACCACTTACTCGAACAGGGAATCCTAGAATGTAAAGTCAATGAAGAAGGTCATGTATTTAATTGTGGACAGTTGAGTTGTACTTTTGAGATAGAGTGGTGATGAGCACTGGGCAATGGACACATTCCCAGTTATCAGTATATATAACTGATCAGATAGAGATCAGTTAAATCACTTAGGGATAATTCCATGCAGCAAAAGTACCAAGCATTTAAAGGGCAGATAGGAGGAGAGAGAAGCATCTAGAAAGTATGAGAACCAGGGAAGTATAGTAACAAAAAAGAATGTTTCCAGGAGATAGCTGTGAAATGCTACTGAGAGGTTGAGATGGAAATATTTACTTTTAGACTTAGAACATTTTCCCCTCTTTGGCTGCTTAAATTTATAGTATTCTTTATTTAGGTTTCAATTGAGTTATTTCTCCCAGTCAGCGTTTCCAGACTTGCTAATTCAGGCTTATGTGCTCATCCTATATGCACCCTGTCCATACACATCATAGCATGTATCATTCTTTGTTGTAATTGCCTTCTTGTTCATATCTCCACTACATTCAAACTTATACAATGTGTGATGTGTGGGTCTGGTTCAACGCTGTATTTTCCTCATAAGCAGGCTTTCTCATATTTGTTTCCCATCCTTTCTATACTACTAGCATAGTGCCTGACAACAAAAGGTTAGTTCTCAGCAAGTAATTATTGACATTGATTCATTTAGTACTTATTAAATGCCACTCACTAAGCTGGATATAATGGAAATATGCATTCCTGAGTCAAGCAAAAACCCTACCTTCCAAGTGCTGCTTTTCTGATTATACACAGCTAAACTTAAATGAACAAGTAAGAATGAAGTGTATTTCTTACCATGTCAGTAGTCATCACTTTTGCTACAATATGTGTTATAGTCTTTCCAAAATCTCTTTTTCCTTTCCTACGCCTCAGAATTCTTGGAAAAAAAGGTCCATGGATTCTAGAGTTAAAAATATTTATGATTAAATTAACAATGAAAAAAGATTCAACCTAGACTTGCTTAGAAAATAAAAACTAGACACTAAGCATCTTGGAGAAAAAGGTTTCACTAATTTCAAGCTCCTTGAGAGCAATGAGTAATTTGAGAATAATGATTAAAATATTCATTAGATAACTGAGTGTTTAAACCCTTGAACTCAAATTTTTTCATTTTAATGGTTTGTACCTGAAATCTGCATGCATCCCACTACAGTTAATACCTCATTCCCTTCAATTTCTCATTACAATAGCCATTTTTCCTGATTGTACTATCATAATCCACTGCACAGAGCAGAGTTGGGTTATGCCTTTGATACTGAGGCATAAGAATGTTTTAGGATGTGTTTAATTTCAGATACTATATTCAATTAACAGCTTTTGTTTCAGAGCATAGGGTCTTCATAGAAATAGTTGCCTGTTGCCTCCCAGAACAGTTCTAGCTTTTCTCTTAGTTGTTGTTATATTGTTTGCTACTCGGCACTTCTAATTACTTCTGTTCTTTCTCCTTTATCGTTCCTATGTTCTCTCTCTTAATTTCATTTATGTGTCATCAAGAGAAATAAAAAAAAATTTTGAATGTCACTTTTATCATTCCTGTCAGCCGAAGGGACACTCCTTTTCCAACAGATGTTGATATGCCATTAATCTCATTAGGTATAAACATTTGGGTTTTCTGTAGCACTTTGTTGCTTGATGCTAAATGGGATGCAGCTTTAGTACCAGTATTTTTCAGGTTTATTGCAATTATCAAATATTTTTGTGAAGCTTAAATTTTCAGGAAACTGGTTCTAAGAATTTGTCATGCAAGTTACTAAATTTTGAATTCAACATATTAGCAATATGCTCTAAAGCAAAAGTTTCATTTAATATTTCAAATTCAAACCCAGTCAGCATTTTTATACCTACTTAAGTAAGTGGCTTACATATTGAGAAAGGAACTACTCATACATTTTTGCACCATATACCCTATTATTAGTTGCTCAAAGAATAAAGCATCCTATATTCAGGACATAGGTCATACAATCCTAATTTTAACAACAAGCGAATATATCAGTGGTTTTTAATTGAATATATTAGGGTATAATTACACAACATACACTCATTTTAAATGAATCATCCTTGAGCTTTCATTAGGTGCATACCCAAATTTAACTAAATCACAATGATCAAGATATAGAAAATTCCTGTTATACTCAGTGTTGTATCTAAAAACATTGCCAAACCCAAGGTCACCTAGGTTTCTGCCTGTGTTTTATTCTAAAAGTCTGATAGTACTGTTTTCCATGTAGGCCTGTGGTTCACTGTGAGATAATTTGTGTGAAATCCTTTTTCTTGTGAGCATGGTAACATTTCAGCTGAATCTGGAGATCCTTGGTTCTCTTAACATAGTTTCCCTCTCTGTTGAGATTTTCCATGTACTTATTAACACCATATTTCCCTCTCATTCTGTAATCATGTTTTTCTTTAATTCTTTAAACATATTTACAATAGCTGTTTTGAAGTCTGATAAATCCAACATCTGGTCCCCCTAAAAGTCAGTTTCTATTAACTTCTGGTTTCATTGCATGTCTATTAATTTTGGTTGAACTAGAGATTTGGGATAATATGTAACTCTGCACTGTGTAGCTTTTCTGAGGATTGTTAGTCTTGTGCGAGGCAGTTTTAATTTGCCTGATCCCAGAATGCTAACTTTCTCCTTTGAAGAACTCAGTAGCTGTATCTCTGCTTAGTTTTCTCAATTTCCAGGTTCCCTTTTTTTTTTTTTTTTTTTTTTTTTTTAGCATTTCTCTGTCTCACCAATGCTAGCATAGGTTAGAGGTCAACCAAGAATTTGAAATGGCAAAGTTTATGCTCAATTTGTGGATCCCCTTTTGCACCTCTTTTATTTTCTGGATACCCCACCTGAGTTTCCAGTGCTTTGTCAACTCTGTCCTTTGTCACTTTCAAACACTGCATTTTTTGCTGCCAGAGCTATGAGAATTGGTGATTAATCTCAGACCAAAAAGCCACAAATTTCAATTTTTTATCCATTCCAAGGATAAATCCATTTCAAGGATAAACTTTTCTGGTTGCTGCCTGCTTTTGGTCATTTCATAGTGCCTTAAAATAGTTGATACTTTTAATAAATTTTGTCCAGATTTTATAAGTGTTATCTATGGAAGGGTTTGATTGATTAACTCATTCCACCAGAGAATTAGATTATCTGTGATTATAGAAAACTCTGTGTTGCCCTATGCCCTTGGAATCTCAAGTCTAATGATGATAACTTGTATTCAAATTCAACTTTTGTTAAAGCTGCATTTCTAGATCAGTGGATTTTAAAAATTATATCCATATTGATTTCCCAAAGTAACGCCAAGGTTTTGCTACACAGGAATCCCACAAAGTATCCCCAAGGTTTTGTCACAGGAACCCCAATAACAAGGAAACATAAAAATGTAAGCACTGGAATGGGATACTTAGTGATTATAAAACAGGTCAAATTTGAGAGAAAATACAAAAGGAAAGATTAGGCTCACAGTTCACAGTTAGGTAAGTAAAATATGGCTCAGAATTCCTAAAGCAAAGAATGAATAAAGGTAGAACACACAAAAAGAGATTTAACAATTTTGTATGAAATAGAAGTTCTTTGACTGCAAGATTTTCTATTAATATGAAGACTATGAGCAAGAATTCCTGTTTCCCCTCTTTTAAAAACAGACAGAAAAGACAGACATATATATTTTTTGCTGCATAACAATGTAAAAATATTTAAACACATTTGGAAGTATTATAGAGGAGAATTATGCTGATTAAATCTACATTGTTTTATTTATCAAAAACAACTTACCAACTTATGTTGGTTAGAAAAGCAGAAATTATGAGGCAGCCAAATTGTTTCCATTTAATATACAGCAAACTGCCTGGCCAGTGTGGCTCCGTGGCTGAGCATCGACCCATGAACCAGGAGATCGGGTTTGATTCCTGGTCAGAGCACATGCCCAGGTTTTAGGCTCGCTCCTCAGTAGGGAGTGTACAGGATGACAGAATCATTCTATGTCATTATTGATGGTTCTCTCTTTCCCTCTCCTTTCCTCTCTCTCAAATAAGAACATATTAAAATAGAATAAAATAAAATAGAACGAAGTATTACCGGAGGCGTAAATCTTCCCACATTTTCAATAATTCACAGAGCATTACTATCTCGTAGTATTTTTTCCAGCATTCAACAGCCTCTGCTGCAGAGGGATCCTCTTTAATATTGTTCTGATACTCAATGAGCTCGACACGCTTGTTTTTATATTTCTCCAAAGTTTTTTTGAAACGTTGTGCAATAGGACCAGGTATTGTTCCATCTTGTATATCACACCACCTGAAAAGTATCAATATAATTTCAATGCTTATATAATGTGCTGAGCACACTTAAAAAATATATATATTTTTATTGATTTCAGAGAGAAAGGGCGAGAGAGAGAGAGACGGAAACAGAAGAGAGAATCATTGATCAGCTGCCTCCTGATTGCCCCCTTCTGGGGATCAAGGCCACAACTCAGGCATATGCCCTTGACTAGAATCAAACCCTGAATCCTTCAGTCCACAGGCCGATGTTCTATCCACTGAGCCCAGTCAGCTAGGGCCAGAACAAGTTTTTAAGTATACTTACAAATTAATCCTTTCTTCAATCAAAGCAGTATAATTTTCACAATGTTCTTCGTCATCCCAGTCTCTCCAAAGAAAATCATAAAAAAACCTAAGATAAGTCAAATTAAGAGGAAAGTGATCAAAAACTGAGTACCACATTTAGAATTAAAAAGGCATTCTGATGTAAAAATTCTTTACATGAATTTTAACTGTTAAGAAAAAAAATATTTTTTTCATTCAAGGACATGCTTTTTATTGATTTTTAAGGAAAGGGGAGAGAGAGATATCAATTGGTTATTAGACAGGCATGTACCCTGATAGAGAACAGAAACCCTTAGGTATAAGAAGGATGCTCCAACCAAGTGAGCCACACTGCCAAGGCAGAAAAATATTTTTAAATGACATTTCAATGAACTACTAATAAAGGTAAACTTTAAAAATTTGATTATCTGGATTATATTTTAGGTTACTACAGATAATGTTTCTTGAAGTGGAATTATAAATTTCATGTTTCAGATTTCATAGATTTGGGTTATTTTATTCACCAAAAAAAGTAATACTTAATCAAATTTGTATATTGAAAGCAGAAATGCATAAGAAAAACAGAAACATGCCCTCATCTATAGTAAGTTTATGAATGGCTTCTGTCAAATTGTACCAGTTGTAAGAAGCAATCGTAATTGTGAATGACATCGAGTATTTGTAATGCCCTTAAATGTGAAAAAAATGAAATCTGATGTATTTAAGATGTTTATTTATTTATTTTTTTAATAAATTTTATTGATTTTGTACAGAGAGGAAGGGAGAGATATAAAGAGTTAGAAACATGCCGAAACCGGTTTGGCTCAGTGGTAGAGCGTTGGCCTGTGGACTGAAAGGTCCCAGGTTCTATTCTGGTTAAGGGCATGTACCTTGGTTGGGGGCGCATCCCCGGTGGGAGGTGTGCAAAAGTCGATGTTTCTCTCTCATTGACGTTTCTAGCTCTCTATCTCTCTCCCTTCCTCTCTGTAAAAAATCAATAAAATATATTTAAAAAAAAAAAAGAGAAACGTCAATGAGAGAGTCATCGATCAGCTGCCTCTTGCACACCCCCTACTGGGGATATGCCCGCAACCAAGGTACATTCCCTTGACCGGAATCGAACCCGGGATCCTTCAGTCCCTAAGCCGATGCTCTATACATTGAGCCAAAACGGTCTCGGCGATGTATTTAAGATGTTTAAATATGAACAGAACTTATAACTTATTGCTAGAATTCTTTAATTCAATTTTTGTAAAATGCAAAGTTGAAAATAGTAAATGTTTATTGCCCGTATATAATACTTCACAAGAGAATGTTAAGAGTTACACATATGTTCATTAAAAATAGATAAATTGAATTAAGTGAGTAAAATTAAAACAATAAATATTCACAAAGTGCTTGAATGAACAAAATTTACGTATTAAACTAAAATATTGGCTATGATAATTTTAACTTTAAGAAGTAAAAAGCTTTAATACCTTACAACTTCCAAGGCCAAAGCAATATCATGTATTTCGGAATCTTGTCCTTCAACAGGGTATACTTCCAAGAGAGGCACACTATGCTCTAGTTCTTCTAAAACCTCATTAACCAAATTCCTAGGAATATTTGCAATATTAGAAGAAAAAGGCTCAGCAACAGAAACAGTCACTCTGAAACAAGATGATGAGCTCTGGCGTGGTGTACAAGTTGCCTAAAATAAATATTTTAAAATTTTAGTTTTGATTTCTTAAATCAGTATTATACATGCATATATTTTAGAATCAAATGGCTGTACTAGGTTTGTTATAAAAATATAATTTCTGTATAATCTCCCACCACCCTCTAGTTCGTAATCCTCTAATTCTTATTCCTCAGAGACAAACAGTTGTAATTTTTTTAGGTGATTATTTTGACATTTACCTCTTTTAAAAAAAATATCTTCATATTGCCACTTAGTTTGTTTTGTTTCAGATTTTGGCATTACATATTGACCCCTGACTATGAGAGATCAGAATTTAATCACTTCTTTATTTTTAAAATATATTTTTATTTATTTCAGAGCAGGAAGAGGGAGAGAAAGAAACATCAATGATGAGAATCATTGATCTGCTGCCTCCTGCACTCCCCCTGGGAATCAAGCCTGCAACCAAGCATGTGCCCTGACCAGAAATCGAATCATAACCTCCTGGTTCATAGGTCAACACTTAACCACTGAGCCATGCTCACTGGGCTTAGAAGTCTCATTCATTTTCCCCCATCCCCAACACATATACCCACTCTCCTGGTCCTCCAACTACCAATGTGGTTAAAGCTTAGTTTTCAAAATGCCATTCACAGGTGACCATACAGTGTAAGCTGATTCATTTTCCTTTCCTGAACAAACTTGTTTTCTCAGGAGTCAATAATAGGGTGGGTTTTTGTTGTTGTTGTTTTTGGGGGGTGTTTTGGGGGTTTTTGTTGTTTTCTGTGAGCCTTTCATTAATTTAACCCCAAATTCCTGAGTTGTGTACATCTCCTTTCAATATGTTCAAAATAGCAGTTTCATTTTCTTGAAGCACTCCTTTCTAGAGTTCTTCAACCAGTTCCAATCTGAACTGGCACTAAGGCCTACCTACTACTTGTATAGCTGCTATCTCTTCGCTATCATTCTTGGAATTCCCTTTGCTTCTCTCTTAGGCTAGCCTCTCTGTATTTTGTATTGGATGTCTTCATATTTCTTGATTTACTTCCTTGACTGAATATCCATTAACTTCCTGAGGGTACATTGGACATAACTTTTGAGATCTCATTTAATTGAAAATATCTTTTTTTCTACTCTTATGTTCTACTCAGGCTCTTTCCATGAGAACTCCATATGTCCATATCTTTAGGTCTTTTGAGTGGATTCATAGAAAAATCTTCTAGTTTTCATGCCTGAAGGGATATGCCTTTCTGCTTGAATTCGAGAAGCAGCTAGGGTGTCATTCATTTATTTCCAGAGACTCTGTTCTTTCCTGAGATGGTTATTTCATTTGTTTCATGTGCATTCAGAATTGCTCACTGACGCATATTTTGATGACTGCTTTAAAATCCTTGTCAGAAAATTCTAACTAATATCTGCATCATCTTGGTGTTCGTGCTTATTGTTTATTCCAGTTAAGATCTCCCTGGTTCTTAGAAGTGATGACAAGTGATTTTCTATTGAAACCTGGATGCTTTGAGTACTGTGCTATTTAAATCTTTCATTAGTCCTCTTCTGACATCAATCTGGCACAAAAAGGGGGTTGCCACCTTGGGTCTGCCTAGTGGGGATGGAAGTCCAGGTTCTTCAGTTGGGGTGGGGAGGGGGTGTTCTTTGTTACTGCTGTCAGAGGTGGGAGTTCAGGTTCCCCATTAGGCCTCCACTGATATCAGCACTCTGGCTTGGGGAGAGAGGAGCACCTCATTACTGCTCCCTCGATGCCTCCCCTGACAGCACTGGGAGGAGGGGGGGTGAAAGTCCTGATTCTCCACTAGCCCTTTTCTGACACTGCCTTGGCAGGGATGACTGGAGTCTCTCCTTATTGGTAAGGTGGCAGTCCAGGTTTCCCATGTGGTCTACACTGACACTGGTCGGGGACAAGAGGGGAAGCTCCTCACAAGCACTCTGTTGATGGGGTTAGTCTGCCATGATACAACTTGGCAAGGGTAGTCTGTTTGAAAAGAGACTGTTCTTTATCTGTAAAAAACCAGTAACTTAATTTTCCATGGAACACAGGATTGTTTTCAGTTTAGTATGCAATGCTATGAGTTGCAAACCCAGTTTTTCTCATGATTAAAACTACAGATTTGAAATATTTAGTCTGAGGCAGGAGTACCATTTGTGATTGTAAATACAGGGATAATTGACCTTTAAGGGAATCAAATATATGCCACAATATTTAACCTATAGGCATAGAAAAGCAAAATATTATCAGATGAAGGCTTGAAAGTTTATGTATTATATACTATATTAAAAGGTACTTTTCATAAGATAAAATTTCAAATTATAATGGTAATTTTCTGACCAATATTTTTTCTTTCCTAATCTAACTAAATATCATTATTGAGATAAATGAAGAAGGGAAATGATGGGAAAAGCCCCAAATTTGTTAAAGGCTAAATTACTAATTTTTAAGAAATAGGTTTTTTATTATTTTTAGATTACTTGAGCAGTTAAAACTTAGGCTAAATACTGTCCAGTATTGTAAATTAGATTACATTTAATGATAACTATTTATAAGTAAATGGTGCTATCATTCCCTCTTACCTTCTTTTAACACTAGTTTGCTTAGAAATTTAAAATATAAGTAAACTTTTGCCAAATTCTGTTTATATTTCAAAGCTCCAAGTTAATAAGATCATATTTTCACTCAAAGAACAAAGATCAGATCAAAATTATTTACCTCAACCAGTATACCAACAAAAGGAATAGAAGCTTCTTCATATTTCAGAAAGAATAACTCAGGGTTAGTCTTCCAGACTCCAAGCCATTTTTCTTTCAACTTTAATTTTTCTGATAGGTAGTTACTCATAGCCTCATCAGCATCTTCTGCCTAGCAAAAGAAAAAAGTACATATTAAATAAAATATATTTGGAAGATTTATATATATTTTTACTGATTTATATTTTAAACAAAATTAATATACTCTTAAATAATGAAAACCTGGGCAATAATAGATTTGAACTGAATCTACATTTAATGGAAAATATAAACAATTATATGTAAAAACAGTTATTTTTTTCTGAATTTTAATGATGTAATGACAACTATTTAAAATATATTCACTACGTAAAAATTTAAAATAGCACCCCATTCTGTATAGCAAATGAGTATATTAAACATTCAATAAATATTTTCCCATTTGATTTTTAATTTTTTTAAAATATATTTTATTGATTTTATACAGAGAGGAAGGGAGAGAGATAGAGAGTTAGAAACATCGATGAGAGAGAGTCATCGATCAACTGCCTCTTGCACATCCCCTACTGGGGATATGCCCGCAACCAAGGTTCATGCCCTTGACCAGAATCGAACCCGGGACCTTTCAGTCCCTAAGCCGACGCTCTATCCATTGAGCCAAACCGGTCCCAGCCCCATTTGATTTTTTAAATTAAATTCAGCTATTTCAAGGATGATAATCTAAGCTAAAATGAAACTCAGTCATTTGAAACATGTTTAATTAATGACAATAATTTATATAAACATTTTTCAATGCCTTTAAGAAGCATACCCTTCTCCAATACTCAATATTAAAGTTGATCATTAAATCTGTCCTAGTTTTCTAAATGTTTTTTAAAATAAATTTTTTTCAAATTATAAAATATCATTAAGATACAGAGAAATTTTAAAAATACTGAAAATATCACCCCTTATCTTGGCAGCCAGAATATAACCATTGTTTATATTTTAGTGTATTTCCTTTCAGTCTTTTTTCTATGCATATATTTGTCATACATATAAATCAAGTATTTTCTCTCCTGATTTTACTTAACATTATAGCATAAGCATATCTATAGTTCTTGAAAACAATTTTTACATGTGCATAGTTTTCCATTACACAAGTTTACTGAGCCCCTAGTTGGAAATTTGTTTATATATATAATTATATATGTATATATAATTTTATAAAATATATAATTTTAGAGAGGAAATGAGAGGGAGAGATGGATCTGCTGCTTCCTGCATACCCTCTACTGGGGATTGAGCCAGAAACCCAGGCATGTGCCCTGACAGGGAATGGAATTGGCGACCTCGATGGCACAGCACTCAACCAACTGAACCACACTGGCCAAGGCAGTTTCTAATTTTTAATTTTTATAAATATCACTGCAATAAATATCTTGGTACATAAGTTCTTCTGCCTAAAAAGCAGAAACATAGAATATCTGCTCTATTCAGTATTCTCAGGTACCATATGTATATGTTCTATACAAAACATCTTTCCACACCCTCCACCGACATGTGGGAACCATTCTTGGGCTGTAAACATTTTTAGTATTGTAGTGTAAAATTCAAGGCTACCCCATGGAATCTTATCCTTATGTTTGTGAGCACATTAATAAATGAATAAACTAAGGTGTATACCTGGGCATTGATGTCTATCTTCATTTTTTAGAAGCTCTAGGAAAAACAGAAGAGAGAAAAAACACTACCAGAGCTGTCCCCTTAACTGATGAATTTCCAGTTTGCCGGAAATCTAATAGTTACACCGTTAGGTTAGGGCCTGGGCACACCTAATAAGGTATAAACCCTATAAATGCTGAGTAAATGTGACGTTTTTGAAATGCAAGTTTTCTTTGTGCCCCACCAGTCTGAGAGTTAGACCAGGCTTCCCCTGCTAACCCCCCTCCAAGGGTCTGGCGCTGGATTCTGCCCCTTTCCTCCTCCTCCTCCTCACCTTGCAGCCCCTCAGCACCTCGTCGCAAAAGAGCGCCACCTTCTCCTCCCGCCACATGCCCCGCAGGGGGGACACGCAGACGGGCGGCAGTGGTTGCGCCTCCACCCTCTCCTCCACCACCGCCGCCTCCGCCTCCGCCTCCTCCTCCTCCTCCTCCTCCTCCTCCTCCTCCTCCTCTTCCTCGGGCACTGATGGAAGGGGCTCTTCCTCCTCCGCGGCCGCCTCTCCGGGGTCCTCGGCTTGAGACGCGGGCAGCAGCTGCAGCCGCCGCCGGGCCGCCTCCCGGCCCGCCTTCCCCTTCACCGGGCGGGAGGAGGCCACCACCGACCGCACCGGGGACGGGGACGCGCTGCCCTTCAGGATCTCCGCCGACAAGTCCTGGCTGGGCGCGGTGACCGCCGCCTCGCCTCGCCGGTCGCCGGAGTTCGCGGTTCGGTCCGAGTCCTCAGGCACCGAAGTCCCGGGCTCCGACGCCATCCCTGCACCCGAGGACCAGCCAGAGCCGTTGGCCACCTTTCCCGCCTGCGCCGCGCTGGCCAATGGGCGAGCGGCGCCCTCCGAGTCCGCAACGAGCGCGGGGGCTCGAGGGGGTCCCGGCGATGAGAGCTGATGGGGTGTGGGAGACGACAGGGATGTTGTGGGTCTCGACTTAGGGAGAGACGTGAGGGGGAGCAGTGCCTGGGGGCGGGGCGGGCCGTGAGGGGACCGTTCTATAGGTGTCCGAGGGCGGGGCTTGTGTGGAAGGGCGTGAATAGGGGGCGGGGCGTGTGGGCGGCCCTATAGGTATCGGAGGGTGGGTGATGGGCGGGGCTTTGTGAAGGGGCGGGGCGTGAGGGGACGGACCGTTCGTAGATGTCAGAGGGCGGGGCTTGTATGAGAGGGCGTGGATAGGGGGCGGGGCGTTTGGGGTCGTCCTATAGGTGTCGGAGGGCGGGTTAGGGGCGGGGCTTTGGGGGCGTGTGGCGAGGGCGGGGCTTAGGCCTGCGGCGTTCTGGAGCGCGGTTCTGAGTGGCGCCCCACCCCTCTCTCCTTGGAATCAGCCAGGAACAGAATTCTCTCCTCAAGGTAGGATTTCTTAGGGTCTTCCTACCTTTTCTGGGTGATTGTGAGTCACCCTCCAAGTCATCATGACCTCACAAATGCGTGCGCCACCTGAAACAACACACGTGAAAGAAAAGTTGTTTAAACACGGAGGCCATAGTACATGGAGACCTCTAGTTCTAGTTATTTTTTTCTTTCTTTTTTAAAAAATATATTTTATTGATTTTTTACAGAGAGGAAGAGAGAGGGATAGAGAGTTAGAAACATCGATGAGAGAGAATCATCGACCAGCTGCCTCTTGCACACCCCCCACTGGGGATGTGCCCGCAACCAAGGCACACACCCTTGACCCGAATCGAACCTGGAACCTTTCAGTCCAGAGGCTGACGCTCTATCCATTGAGCCAAACCGGTTTCGCCTAGTTCTAGTTATTAGAGGAAACCCTAGTGATAAATCCAGCAACCTAGAGTTTCCCCCAAACTCTTCACATGGTTCCCAAAATAATTGTTTCTTAACATTTTAAGCAAGGCAGCCACTTTCTGCCAAGGATAGGTTAGTCTATTTTCATGTGTCTGTTGTGCTGCTCAAAATTTTCTCTCACACACAAAAAGATTCTATTATGTAACTATTAAACCAGAGGCAAATTTCCAGCTAAAGAGTAATGCGTGCAAACCATGAATACTTTCACAATAAGAGTCTGCTCAAGATATTACATTTTGGAGAAGAACAGAGACCACTGATTTCTGTTATTTTATTCTCACACTGAGCCAATTGGAATAACTTTTGTTTACTGTCTAGCTGGGAAGTTGCTCTGGGGCCTGCAGTTCCCACAGCCTTGGGAAAACACCTGCCTTCCTCCACGCTCATTTGGAAGGACACTGTGTTAAATGTGGAGATTATTTTTAGGAAAATATTAGTATTACTATTGTGTTACTAGAGTTCAGGGGATAATTACAACATTCATCATGTTTTGACTCTAAAGGCTTTTCCTCTTGTCAGGAGTTCTGGCTTTTGTTTAAAATGATACCTCACTATATATTTCACTCACCAAAACTAACATCTATTACTCTAGCATTTCTTCAAAGGGTTTTTGTTTTTTTGTTTGTTTTTTTTTAATAAATCGTGGTGGGGTTTTTATTTTTAGGTTCAGAATAATAGATACCACTTGTCCTAGTCAAAAGTTCAAAAACAACTCTCCTCCCATCCCCTGCCTTCTAAAGCAAACAATTGTTAGGAACCCGCTATGTGCTGAGCAATTCATAGATATCAAAGTTATAAAAATAAAACACAAAATTCCTGTCTTCATAATCCTAGTGAAGTGTGCAGATGGTCAATAGATTATTGTGTTTAGTAAGAACCATGATAAAAAAAATATATGTATATATATTTAATCCTCATAGTAGGCAGGAGGGGGCAGTGGGGGAAGTCCCATTATTTCCAGAAGAAGTGATGCTTAAGCAGAGAGCTGGCGATTCACCTGTCTTTCCTCCTGTTATTTTATTCTCATCACCATTAGTCCTGGTGATGACTAACCTGACTTTAGGTGAAAAGTTGGGACCAGAATTAAGAGGAACTGAGGGATTCCATGCAGCAGAAGATTCAGGTTTCCAAAGTACAGAGCATATATGAGCACTTGCTTTGTGCTGACCTGGGGATGTAGCAAAATACACAAAAAGCTCAGATTGCATTCTGGTTGGGAGACAGACAATAGCAGGTAAAATGTGTTTTTAAAAAGTGGAATTCCCAAGAGACACAAAAACCCCTGAATATGAATAGCAGCATTATTTATAATAGCAAAGTAGTGGAAAGAATCCAAATGCCCATCAGCTGATAAACGGGAAAAGGAAATGTGGTATATTTAATGGAATATTAAATGGCCATTAAAAGAAATGTACTGATACATGCTACAACATGGAAGAAACTTGAAAACATGCTAAGTGAATGAAATCAGTCACAGAAGCCCATCTAACATGTTATTTCATTTACATGAAATGTCCAAAACTGTCAAATCTAAAGAGACAGGAAGTAGATTAGTGGTTGCCTAGGAAAATGTTTTGAGGGGAAATGGGGATTGACTACTAATGGGCCTAGGAGGTCTTTCTGGGGTGATGAGAATGTACTACAATTGATTGTAGTGATGGTTGAATGATTCTGAGAATAAACTAAAAACCATTGAATTGAATGCTGTAAATGGGTGAATTGTATGCTATATGAATTACACCTCAATTTGAAAAAGTAAAATTCATAGCACATTAGATGGTGGTATGTGCTAAGGAAAGTGATAAAAATATAAGAAGGGGTGAGTAGGGATGGAAGAGTTTTGGAGGGTAGGTGACATTTGAGTAAAGAACTAAAGGAGGTGAACAGGAAAATCTTAGTCTTTGACAGCTGCAAGGGAAGGAAAGTTTTTCCCCATCAATTAGTCATTCCCAAAGGGCGATTCAGATATAAAGAACACAGGTAAATACGGAGAAGTCCTTAATACTACTAACATTTTTTTTTTTTAATTTCCCTACATGATAAACATTTAAATAAGGCTCACATTGGTCAAAAAACATTAAATGAGTGCACCTGGAGATTTGGGGATACTAGAAGTTTTGCATGGTGGAGATTTGATTTTTATTGTTATATTTTATTATTGTTGTTATGTTGTTTTATTGTTATATTTTATTTTTATTGGTAGAGATGCCATCACAAGAAGCGGTGAAATGTAGTTGTATTTGTTTTCCCTTTTGGATTTTCTCAGTTGAACAAATAAATATGAATGGACACTCAAATCAGCAATTTAATCCCTAACACTTTAGTTTTTCTTTCTTAGTACACTAATCTTTCCCTCTTCCTTAACATTTTGATGTTGACTTTGAAACAAATACTATGAATGGGTTCATGGGGAACCAGCTCTTTTGGAAGCATGTACCCCCTCGTTTTACCAGAAGAGGGCACTGGAGAGCTTTTGGGCTGTTTAAGGGCCCCCATCCCCAAAGGGCTGGGTGGAGCCTGAAGCATTCCTGTAGTCCTGCCAGCCCCAGCCTCTGACTCAGAAGCAGACCGCGTTTGCTAAAGGACAAGTTCAGACACATTTCTCTAAGGTCTTACACCTTTTTAACCTCAAAATGATGTTCTGCTAAATCCTCAAACTTGGACAATGTGGACTAACTCCCTGGTACTTGTTTTGTGTTCTGTTTTTTTTTTGTTTGTTTGTTTTTTAAATATATTTTATTGATTTTGTACAGAGAGGAAGGGAGAGAGATAGAGAGGTAGAAACATCGATGAGAGAGAGTCATCGATCAGCTGCCTCTTGCACACCCCCTACCGGGGATATTCCCGCAACCAAGGTACATGCCCTTGACCGGAATCGAACCCGGGACCTTTCAGTCCCCAAGCCGACGCTCTATCCATTGAGCCAAACCGGTTTCGGCTGTGTTCTGTTTTTGTTTTTAGCAGTTTTTGGAGGTAGACAGGGGTTTTAATTTCATTTTACATGACTCACTGGACATGTTTCAGGGCACACAGATTCTACAAACAAGAGGCAATACAGGGTCTGGACAAGGCACAGCCTAAAACCAATGACTAGAGCTTTGGTGGTAAAAAGCTAATGGCCCACACACATGTGCCTTAATAACTATCAAAAGTCATACACGTCAATCTCGGCAGGAAAGGGCACTAAGATGAAAATAGCTAATTGGCCTACATGTGGAAGAGTGCATAGGATCTAATAGTACAGCAAACATATTTATTTAATTTTTATTTATATATTTACTTATTTATTTTTAATATATTTTATTGATTTTTTACAGGGAGGAAGGGAGAGGGATAGAGAGTTAGAAACATCCATGAGAGAGAAACATCGATCAGCTGCCGCCTGCACACTTTCTACTGGGGATGTGCCTGCAACCAAAGTATGTGCCTTTGACTGAATCGAAGCCAGGACCTTACAGTCCACAGGCCTACGCTCTATCCACTGAACCAAACCGGCTAGGGCTATTTAAATTTTTTTATTCCATTTTTCAGTTATAGTTTACATTCAATATTATCTTCTTTTAGTTCCAGGAGTACATCATAGTGGTTAGACAATGATACGCTTTACAAAGTTATCCCCTCGATATTTCCAGTACCCACCTGGCACCATCCACAGTTATTACAACATTGTTGACCGTATCTCCTATGCTGTACTTCACATGATGTTCACCATGGGTTTGCCATTATATGGCTTTTATGATGTTGAGATGTTTCCTCTAGTCCATCTTAGGTGAGAGATTTTATCATAGAGGGGTACTGGATTTTATCAAATGCTTTTTCTGTGTCTACTGATATGATTATATGATTTTTGTCCTTTGTTTTGTTTCTGTGGTGTGACATATTAATTGATTTGCGGATATTGTACCAACCTTGCATCCCAGTAATAAATCCCACTTGATCGTGGAGTATTTTTAATATACTGCTGAATTCAGTTTGCTAGTATTTTGTTGAGGATTTTTGCATTTATGTTCATCAGAGATAGTGGCCTATTTCCTTTGTGGTGTCTTTATCTGGTTTTGGAATTAAAATAATGCTGGCCTCAT